ACGCTGAGCTCTGCCCGTGTCCCCACAGGTGTCGCCTGCTCGCTGCCCGTCCCTCCCAGCGAGATGCAGAACGACGCCGGCGAGTTCGTGGACCTCTACGTCCCTCGGAAGTGGTGAGCGGGTCCCGCGGGCGGCCAGATGCCGATAGTCGTTAAAAAAGCAGTTTTTTCACTCTAGCAAATCGGGGGGGGGAGTGGAGGAAGGGGAATACCTATTTTCTATCTGTTTCTGCCTTTTTAAATATGGGGGGGGTTAATGGTCATGGTAGCGTTGGGTGATGGTTGGACTTGATGGTCTTATAGGGCTTTTCCAACCTTAATCCCTCCGTGATTCTGTGAAATGTCTCGGGTAAAATATGTGAAGCAAAGGCTAAAGTTGAAGAGAATATTGTGGGTCTTCTGTTGCACAACTGCCAACCTCACAGTGGCAGTGGCAGATCACAGAGCCGTTCAGGTTGGGAAAGGCCTTTAAGGCAATCAAGTCAAACTGCTCCCCCAGCACTGCCAGGTCCCCACTGCCCCGTGTCCCTCACACCACATCTCCACGGCTTGGGAACCCCTCCAGGGGTGGGGACTCCACCACTGCCCTGGGCAGCCTGGCACAGCCCTGGGCAACCCTTTCAGGGAAAATATTGTTCATCAGGGCCAACCTAAACCTGCCTTGCCACAACTTGAGGCCATTTCCTCTTGTTCTTGTCACTGGGGAGAAGAGCCTGACCCCCATCTGGCTCTAACCTCCTTTCAGGGAGTTGTCAAGAGTGAGAAGATCTCTCCTGAGCCTCCTTTTCTCTAGGACACTTGATATTTTGTGTGTTTTGAAGGCCCCTGGTGCTACGTAGGGGTGAACTGGGCCTACAAAAACCAAACTGCAGGGATAGTTGGCAAGGTGGTGTGATGCTACCTAGTGCAAATTGCCTTTAAATAGAGTTAAAACTGTCTTTTAATATTCTGAGCACTGAAAGCTTAAACTGTTTCTGTATAAACTTCTTGTACAGGCTCAAATGTAATTGAATTTATTTTAATTACTAAACTTGTAATAGTGTGGGTGGTTATTGACTCTCTATTTCCTGTTGTTTAACTATATCTCACTATTTTTTTCCTTAGCTCGGCTAGCAACCGAATCATTGGTGCTAAGGATCATGCATCTATTCAGATAAATATTTCTGAGGTAAGTTTTAAGCACAACCTCCTAGCTCTGGATGTTTAGAGTTATAAGTTAGGGAGCTCCTTGCCCTGAAGGAAAGAAGGAGAAGAAATGGTTGGTTCTGGGAGGTCCTTGTCCTTTCTGTGTGAAAGCACCATCATCCTTCAGTCTGTCCTTCTGCACCCTGGAGTTTAATTTTTAATTCTCATTGATCTTCTTTATTCTTTTTCTCTTAATTTGTCCAAACTTTTAAGAAACATCCAGCTTCCAGAGCAGAGCCCTGTTCCTGTTCTACATGCTTAACTAAAACCCCATCTTCTATGTTCTGCTTCAGTCATTTCTGTTAAAACTTGAATCTGCTGCTCTTGATAGGTGACAGATGAGATCACTTGTGTGGGATTCTATGGACACAGTGTTCCTACAGCTTGCAAGCTGTGTAGCCTGACTGATTTCTTCATGAATGGGAGACCCCAAGACCACATTCCCATATTTTTAAACAACTGAGTCTCTTGTGTTGACCCTCTGACTAAAGAAATCACTGTTTAAAATGCTGTTTGCAGTTTTCTGTAGATTTGAAGGCAGCTGCTTGCCTTCTTCACCATGTTCCATTCCTTCAATGACCTCTGCTTCTTGCTTCCAGAGGATCTGAGATTAGCAGAACTCAAACTCAGATGATATGACAGTTCAAAACACTGTTGAATTTCATCACTTATATTGTTTAGGGGTTTTTTTTGTGATAAATTTCTCAGCAACTGGAGGAAGTGAGGCAATTTCTGTCTCACTGTGACAAGACTGTCCACATCCCCCATTCCCTTCAATCTTACATAATATAGACCTTAAAAGAAACATGAAAAGATACCAACAGCAGTAAAATCTACAATAAACTTTCCATTGACCTTTCCCTTCAGAACTCAGATATTTTCCTTTAGCTGCCACTTTGTTTTGTGTTCTTGTTACACTGGGTGATCCATTAAGTTTTATAGCTGCACTATTGACTACAAATTTGTTGAGAAGATACTTTATAGTTGTATTTCTAACATCAGTGTTTGCCTTGGGGTTTTGTGGTATGCAGAAAAATGTTTTCAGTATTTAGCAAGTAATTTTTATCTCATAACTTGCTCACAATTCCAGGTGGACAAGGTAACAGGCAGAGTAAATGGCCAGTTCAAAACATATGCCATCTGTGGCCCCATTCGTAGAATGGTGAGTACTTCCTTCACCTGCCAAATGATTGTGCTTCCTTTTATGTCAATTAGTCATGTTTTTAGATTTATATTTGGCCCTGAAAACACAAATGAGCCTTCAGCTCATTCTAGAGGGAGAGTTTTTGTGAGGATAATGAAGAAGGAGGGAAGATGTGAATAAATTTACTTGGAAGAATCAGTTTCTTCTGTTTTCCTCAGTGCTTTGGTTTAGAATTATGGAATTGTATATAGAAAAAAATATATATATTAATTTTTTATTCTATAGAAACATAGTGGGTTTTTTTCCTTTTGAAGAATGAGCCAGGCTACTAATATCTGGATTTATTCCACTGTTTATTAGAGAGGATAACTATCATGACTTAAATTTCTTGAAGCTTTACACCATGTTTATCAGGAATTGCTTACCCAGGAATACATCATGTTAATGCAAGTGTGTATTTTACCAGGTTAAAGCAATTTCTGCTCCTAAAGGATGACAAAAGAATTTTACAGCTTGTTTTAAGTGCTAATCTGTGTATAAAAGATGCAGTGATCTGTGGGAGGAGTTGTGCATTTCACTCCCAGCAGTAAATGCTGCAGCTGCCTCTCTTTTTAATGGGTTTTCAGTGGTTGATTTGGTCACTTCTGATTCATCTGTGTGGGGTGTTTGTGTTTTGAAGGGTGAATCAGACGACTCCATCCTGCGTCTGGCAAAAAACGATGGGATTGTTTCCAAGTATGTATGTTTATCTTGTCCTCTAACTCTTGCAGGGGAAACCTCATAGCCAAATCCAGCATTTAGGAGGGAAAAAGTATACTCTGTATTTATAGGGTGATTACACAGTTGGGCAGAAATATTTACTTGATCTGTTGAAGCAGACTGGTTCTGTAACAGTGTTTGTTTCATGTTCTAGGAACTTCTAGCTGAAGGAACTCTGCTGTGGAACATCTGATGTCAAATAAACAGTTCAAACCTGTCTTGTGCTGTGTCTTTTGTTCAAGTCAGAAACACTGGTGGGTTTATTATAACTGGTCTAGAAAGACTTAGAAATGTGTGTGTCTTACAGATATACAGATTCTGATTATGAATTTTTAAAACCAGTCAGCTTGTAAAGCAGTGCCAGAGTTCAAAATCAAGAATTTCCTTTTGCTGTTTGGTCCATGATCATCTTTCTTCTCCAGATTCAGTAAGTTTTGCAATTGTAGCTCAGCTCCGTTTTTGCTCTGAAGTGGAGCATGAGGGAATTCTTTTGGTTATGGTATCAAAGTTTTGTGGTTTTTCTGCTGATAGAGGCTTGCCATATTTGTTCTGTCATCAACACAATCTTTTAGCAAATTATTAATACTGGAATTCATGGAAAACTTGCCAAAAATACTTCTTGGCATGCTAGCAGATTGATAGCCATGTGTGAGACTCTTAAAGTTTTACCTTTATTTAAGACCTTGATGTTGAAAAGCAGGAAAATAAGGAGAAATAACAAAATATTTGGCAAAATCTTAATAATTCCTTTATTACAGCCTGAAATGCTGCATTGAATGGCAAAAGCCCTCCACAATATTCTCCTCTGCTGTCTGCAGAGGCTGAGAGACTGAATTGTGGATGGTGCCAAGCTAGAAACAGCTGCTGGTGCTAAGATAGGAGTGAGAAAGGTGACAAAGGACCTTCAGAGAAGAGAAGACACATTCTTCTGTCTTAAAACTAGTTAAATCATTGGCACCTCTGTCGGGAGAAGAGAATTCTGATTTAATTTGGCTCTAATTCCACAAGGAATTAAAATGATGGTGTCTTCTATGGTGTGATGTCTCAGGTTTTGATTTTGCAGGGGGGATACAAGCCAATGCTGACTCTTGTCTTCTAGGAGCTGCTTTTGTGTTGGTGGATCTTGTTTGCACACAGCAGGTTTATTTCTCAGCTGGTGCTTCTCTTGGGGATAAAAAGTCACGTGTGAATTTGGTGGGTTTAATGTATGTTAGGGTGATATGATTAGTATTGGAAAATTCCATTTTCAGCCACATTTTACCAATTTTGTGGTACCTACAGTTGAACCTAGGCATGGCAAATCAGGCTCTGCTACTGTGTGCTTAAAGTGTAGGGTGATATTCTTTATTTTTTTTAAAACCATAGAATCATTTAGGTTGGAAAAGACCTTTAAGATCAAGTCCAGCCATTAACCAAACTCTGCCAAGTCCACTGCTGATCCCTAGAGGCAGTACACAGCTTTTAAACCCCTCCAGGGATGGGGACTCCACCGCTGCCCTGGGCAGCTTGTTCCAGGGCTTGACAAACCTTCCAGGTAAGAAATTTTTCCTAATTTGAGGCCATTTCCTCTTGTCCTATTAGTTGTTACTGGAGAGAAGAGAGCAACCTCCTGTCAGGGAGCTGTGGAGAGCCAGAGGATCACCCCAGAGCCTCCTTTGCTCCACCTCAACACCCCCATGTCCCTCAGCCACTCCTCACCACACTTGTTCTTCAGATCCTTCATCTTAGTTGCTCTTCTTTGGACATGCTCCAGCTTCTCAATCTCCTCCTTTTACTGAGGTGCCCAGAACTGACCACAGGAATTGGGTTTTATTTCAAACTCATGAAGGGAGTTGGAATCTCAAGTGTAAGCCACCACAGGGATTTAATCGCCTCTGTTTCAGGAGTAATTTCAGCAGAGAAATCCCAAGCTGGCAGCCTGTTGGGCTTTTTTACCACAGCTATGAACTGAAATGTCTTTGGTTGCACATTCTGTCTTCCCACTGATAGTGCTTGAATTTACTCTTCCTCCTCCTCCAGCCTGATAGAACTTCTAAAAGAGAAACTCCTGGATCATTCAAGTAAGGGGAATCTTGGCTATAAAGACCAAAAAAAGGCTTCATGTTAAATTCATGATGAACTTAATACAGAAAGCATGTGAGAGAACTTTTAAATACCCCACAAGCAGCAAAAACCCATACAAATAACCCAAACTTTATTTTTTGAGCCATCTGCTGACATCTAACTGAGCCATGAAAGATGTTTTAAAAAAAAAAAAAGGGGTGGGGATGGGACATTGTTAGTTGTGATTCTCCTGGAAATAATTCATTTTTCCAGCAGATAAATCTATGAAAACACTTTCTGGAAAGACAAATACAGTCTCCAAACTGCAGAGATTTTGGCTTGGCTAACATCCAATCCTCATTACTTTCCTTTGTACAGAGTCAGAGGAGATAAGTTTTAATTGGACTTGATGTTTCTTTCTGACATATCTTAAATTAGCTGCTTCTGCCTCAGCATTAGGGTAGAACTTTAAATAAAACCAAGTAACTGTTTACTGCTGATAAATCCTTGGTTTACCAAAGAGTTTAAATATTGTTGACTTGCTCCTAATCCCCTGGGACTCTTGTTCATCCCTGTGGATTTCAGTGGAATTCCTCCATAAGGCAAAGTGAACTGACAGCTTGAAAGCTCAAGATTGGGCTTGAGGTCTCTCAGATGTCCTTTTGAGCAGTGAAAACTCCATCAGTGTACAGCCCCACCAGATCTACACTTCTGCATTAAGTATTTAAGGATTATGGCATCATTTAAAATGTTCTTTGCTTTGTACACATTGTTGCCATTTGTTTTTCAGAAATTTTTTTAAAAAATATATTCAAACAAATTGCTTTTTCATTCATTTCTGGTTAAAATAAGCCTATGAAATGTTTAGGGTGCCATATCCTAGAACCTGGTTCATTTGGCAAAGGATTAGTGCTGTGCTGGAGGCTTCCTGGAGCTCACACCATCCTTATCAGTGAGACTGCACAGCCTGATAACAATTTCTGCAGAACCCTGACAGAGGGAGGGCAAGAGTCCCTTTAAAAACCAATTTTGAGTTGCATTTTCTGGTATTGTGATGTAAAATGCTCTTTGTTTCCCTGGGACAGGAATAGTTCAGATCTTCTAGAGCCATGAAAGGGAATGAACTGTACTTGTACTGTACAGGATGGGCAGAGCTGCCCTTACATGGTTACATTGCACCAACTCGTGAAATTCTTTTCTGTTACTTAGGAGGACTTGGCAGTGGCATCCTAAAAAACATCTGATTTAACTGGGGCTATTTTAGTGTCTTTGGCCAAAATTTTGCTGCTCAGGCAGCAGCCCATCTGCTCCTTCAAACACCTGCTTTTTTTGGTAGGAGCTTGTAGATGTATTCTAATACCACTGATTTTTCTTCTCTTAAGCTTTGAGTGACACGCAGAGATAAAAACATCTCTGCTGCTTTGGGGAGGTGAAGGGAGGGTTTGATTTCAGCTCATTCATTGATGACTGTTTGCGTTGAGGTCTCCCAGGGGATTCAGTTTCCCTGGATGTATGTTGGACTAATCAGCCGTGGAAAAAACCTAGAAAACTAATTAGGCATTTTTTTCCTGCTGGGAAATACACCATTGTTTGATAAGAGCCAGGAGTTCTCATTGAGTAAATCCTCCATAGGAACTGCGTGTACTGAGATTTCTAAAATTAAGAACAATTAGTAAGGTCAATGTGCGATATTTTTTTTAATGTATTATGATAAAAAAGGTATTATTTTAATATCTATTCTCAGATAGCTGATAGGGAGCAAAACAAAAGTGGCCAGGCTGTACTAAGGGTATAATTCTGCTTTAGTCTGTTAGTAAGTCCTGCTGAGTGGTTTGTTTCCAGCAGGCTGGGACAGAAGGAGAGCAGACACAGGGCTGTTCTGTTGAGGGTTTGGGAGCACAGCATTAGCTGCTTTTTGCAGCCCTGTGGCAGGTTGCCCATGTCTGGCTGCCAGGAGCCCTCCCTCGCTCCCTCTCTTCAACAGAAAATAAGATGGAAAGGTAGGGAGATCACTTACCAATTACCATTGTGGGCAAAACAGGAAAATCAATTTACTTCTTATTAAAATTGTTTTGGAAGGTGAGTAGCCCCTATGACCCCCTTTTCCTAGGCTCAGCTTCAGGGGAACACCCACTCTGGTGCCCAGAGCTCCTTGTTCTCCCCAGTTTTCATAGGACTCTCTCTAAATTGGGTTTTTAATTTATTTGCCCATTTTGCTCATTATCACAGAGGTTTTCCCAGCCATGCCCTGTGGCAGGGCAGCTGGAGCTGGCTGGCACTGGCTGTGTCCAGGTCACAGAGATCCCCCTGCTGATGTTTGGGCACCAGTGCCTCACACAACTCTCATCTCCATCAAAAGGCAGTTAAACTAAAAACATTTCATGCTGCAGGTGGTGATGGTCTTCAGTAATGTCTCAGTTTTGTGTTGCACTTCTCCTGCAGCAGATCTCCACCAGCTTTACTGGTACCTGTGTGTATTGATCCATGTTCCACACCTGGGAAAGCCATGGAGCTCCAAAAGTGAGGCATAGCACCCGTCAGACACCTGAGAGCACCAGGATTAAACCAGAACTGGACGTGTATTATCTGCTAAGCTACAGCAGATGTTCCTCTGAGAGGCTGGAGGACGATCCTTGTGCAGGGAGGCCAAGCTTGCTGGGTGCCAGCTGGGGATTGCTGCAGGGTTGGAGGTGAAAGTCACTCCTCACGTGTTGGTGAGCTGATCATAAGCTGTGTGCTAGGACACCACACATGCATCAGAATGAAGCAGTAGCTTATCTGGCTCTAAGTGTGATAATCTTCTACTGCTTCCATAGGGCACCAGAGTCCTGAGAAGCACCTTGATCCATCTAGGGATGCCTACCTTGGTGGGAAGTAACTCAGGCTGTCACCCTCTCCGAGCAGCAGTGCCTGCCAGGTGAGTAAAGTTGAGCACAATTGCTGAGATACTGCCTGTTCTGTTCCACAAACCAGCATCTTCCTAAAGCCTTTAGCACAGCTCCACACGGGCTGCTCACTGAGCTGGGGAATGTGACAGCCCATGCCCTAGGCAAAGTGTTTCTGATGTCTGAGGGTGAATAAAACCAGCACTTTGAAATAAATTGGGTGGTGCACTGGGGAGGTGGCAGGGATCATTACCTGCAGCTCCTC